TATAGATGTTCCCACTTTTTTCCCCCATTGACCCCCTCCACCCTTGCTCCCCCCCCAAGGACTTCACAGCACTCTTGACAGTTTACACAGGTTATACACGTATGCAAATAAGTTTTTGGTTTATCTCTTCCCACCTCCCCCTTCCTCCCTTCCCTCTGAGATTGATCAGTCTGTTCCCTGCTTCCATGACTGGATCTATTTTGTTCATCAGTTTATTTTGCTCGTTAGTTTTCACATGTAAGTGAGATCATGTGATATTTGTCTTTCTCTTACTGGCTTATTTCACTTAGCATAATACTCAGCCCCTCATGCTATGTGGCATCAAAATACAATTATTTTAAAATTGGAAAAATGTCTTTTATTGTACAGAATATTGTCTTTGTAATACCTTTGTAAACAGTGATTTTTTTTTCTTGGTAATATAATAAATGGAAAAAATTCTAAAACCCTTACTGAAATTATTTTTTGGCTATTTGACTTTAAAAATATCAGTGAGATGTTCTTTGTATTTATAGTATCTTCCTCACAGAGAAAGCTAATTTTGGTTGCTTAGAAACACTAGGCATTTTAATGGAATGCTACAGCTGAATATACTTGCATATATAACTGTCCTTTGAAATGACAGATAATTTTATAGAGTACTGCAATGCCTCTTTAAAAAATTTTTTTATTGATTTCTTAGAGAGAGAGGAAGGGAGAGATAGAAACATCAATGTGAAAGAGAAACATCAATCGGCTGCCTCCCGCATGCCCTCCCAATGGGGATCGAGCCCGCAACCCAGGCATGTGCCCTGACTGGGAATCGAACCAGGACCTCTCAGTTCATGGGACAACGCTCAATCCACTGAGCCACTCCAGCTGGACTGAAATGCCTTTTTTTTTTATTTTAATTTTTAAATTTTGTGTGCCTCAAGCCTGAAACAACTCTGGCCACCAATACAGGCATCAAGCCAGGATGAACTAAGGACTGTGCATCTGCTTTGCCTCCGATATGAGAGCAACACCACCAATCAGGAGTCTCCTTGCCCAATGCCAGGGGGTTGAAATGCCTTTTAAAAGATTTTTATTTTCTGCCTTCCTGACTTACTCCTGCCTGTTTTTCTTCCTTCCTGAATAACAGGACAAAAGTTGTTTGCGTATTCTGAGCAAGGCACCAGGTAGGCATTATTACAACAGTGGGTGATAGTGTGGGATTACAGTGTGCAGGCCGGAGGAGAACTTGTGAGGGTGGTCGGGAGGGGAGTCTCAGTGATCTGAAGTAAGGATGCAGCGATAGGAGATTATTTATGAGGGGACTGATCTAATAAGTTAATAACACTAATGGGAGTCAGATTTCTCACTCAGAGAAAGAAATGACAAACATGGAAAGGGAGAGAAAACTAGAATGAGGTCTGCATCCCTAGTGCCTGGATTTTGGTTTCTAAATATCACTTTCTACTAAATGGAACCAGTTCCTCTGAGTGAAATAGCCCACTCCAGGTCTGGTGCAGGTGAAGTTACAAGATGAGCCTGGAGTGTCTTTTTGTATTAAAAAGTAATAACATTCTCCAAGAATGGTGGGGACATTTCAAAAGGATACAGGGTGGGAGCGGGAAGGAGGGGGTCAATGGGGGAAAAGTGGGAGACATCTGTAATATTTTCAACAATAAAATGAAATAATTGCTTTATAGTTTGAATTTTACATGCCTGCAATGTTTACAAGATTTGCTGTGTTAATGTATAAAACAAGTTAGAGTTGTGATTCTAATTTGAAATGTACAACATGTAATTGATTTAGAGCTACAATTTTGAATTAAATTTTACTATTATGATTACTCAGGTATATTTTTAACAACCTTAAGAATCACTGTATTTAAGCCTATTTGTTATAACTATAAGAAATAAAATCTATATTTTATTAATCCTCAAATAAATAAATTGGGGTTTTATTTGTAAAAAAAAAAAAAAAGAAGACTCAGCTTGGCAGGGCATCCACTGGCCAAATCGATACTTTCAAATAAAAATAAACATCAGTAGCAAATCACAACCCATCAAATAAAACAGGAAGCCATGAATTAACAAGAAAGAAAAGTTCTACCTAATACAGAACTTACCCAATGCCAACCAATAAATGTAAAAGGAATTAGAAAATGAGTATTTGACAATCATTGTAATAATAATTCAGTTGAAAATCTTCAATGATTGCTAATACTAGTAAATGAAAATTTGATGGTCTCTAGGAGATACTTATTTTTAATATATTTTTATTGATTTTTAGAGAGAGGGAGGAAGGGAGAAAGATAGAAACATCAAGGAGAGAGAAACGAATCAGCTATCTCCTAAACACCTTCCAGGGATCAAGTCCACAACCCAGGCATGTGCCCTGATCAGGAATCAAACTGGTGACCTCTTGGTGCATGGGACGACACCCAGCCTACTGAGCCACACCAGCTGGGCTGTAAGATATTTATTAAACAAAGGAAAAAAAAGAGTGGAAGAGCTTGGCAGACACTACCTTCATAAATTGGTCAAAGTGCCGTCATTGGAACAGCACAAGTCAAAATTGTATGACACTTGATAAGATGCAAGAAGATACTATCTCCTCTGTGGTAGTCTTGCTAGAAAGGTACATCCTGAATCTACTCATGAAACACCAGGCAAGCCTAAGTTAGGGAACAATCTACAAAATAACTGGCCTGAAATCTTCAGTGTTAAAGTAATGAAAGTCAAAGATGAACTGTTTCAGATTGGTGGAGACCAAAGAGACAACTAATGCAAAGTGTGATCCCCTGACTATGCAGTATCAGGTTAATGCCTGGTTTTGATAGTTACATTATAGTGAATGAAGCAGAACAATGTCCTTGTTTGGGAATTACACACCAATGGATTTGGGGTTGATAGGGCATCGCCGGCTCAACGGTTCAAGGAAAAAGTTTCTTTGCACTCTTCTTGCAACTTCCTTGTAAATTTGAAATTTTATTTCAAAATGAAAAAAAAGGGGTACCATTTTTAAAAATCAACTCAGAAAAGCTTACCCCAAAGCTTGTTCTCTTATGTGGACTTAAAAATCAAGGAATGAAGCTCCAAAAGAAAATACCCACCTTCAATGTTTTTCTCTTTGGAAATGGAAATTTAACTTCTAAGTTCATTTCACATAATTTACAAATGTAACTAGTTATCTTAGGAAATTTTGCATTTTACCAACTTTATTTACTTTTGCTTTTCCAGATATTTAGAGTTGATGCTTTTCCTAAACTAAACCACAGACTATGTTTGGGCAAAGAGATGCTAATAAGTACAACGGGCCCCTTCTCTGCATGTCATTTAAAATGACTTAATTTAGCTCAGCTGGTGTAGCTCACGGGTTGAGCATCAACCCATGCACCCCAAGAGGTCGCCTGTTCGATTCCAGTCAGGGCACATGCCCAGGTTGTAGGCCAAATCCTCAGTGGGGGGCATGCAGGAGGCAGCCAATTGATGTTCTCGCTCAGCGATGTTTCCATCTCTCTCTTCCTCTCCCTTCCTCTCTCTAGAATCAATAAAGAAAAAAAAATTTTTAATAAAATAAAATGACAATTTAAACAAAGCTATAAGAGATCATAAAACTAATTTAAAGATATTCTTACATAGGCAAAAGTAAAACTAAAATATTCTCATTACTTAATGTTTCCCGTTCTGCATAAACAAAAACCTACATTAATTTAACCTGTCTCATACTTATATGAACATTTGGAATAAGTATTTACAACTAAAGTTTACTCTTTGCTTGAAATTTTGTATAACCTCAGGAATAGACATTTAATAAATAGACGTCTTCTAATGCATGCTGGCTAAGAAGGTTCTTAATTCTTCCATTTTGCAGATCCACTGATTTCAAAGCCAAGCCAAAAAGAAACCTGCAAAAGACTAGCTTCCCAAATTATTTAAATCTCTTTTGTAGCAAAATTTCCCTCAGAAACAGAAACATTCACACAAAAGTTCTTACCTTTTTATCAAAAGTTTATTATCCAATTCTTATTTTCCGGCATTTAATAGTGAAAAAAATAATTTGCTATTATTCACATAATGAAATTTCATGTCAAACCATTTTCCTGATTGCTGAAGTGAATAATACATCTCACTCTCTATGAATTATGTTTACTGTGGAGACGGGAATCTGGGCAATCCAAGTCACACGTGCTCTGAAGCTCAGAGAGTTGAATCAGGGTGATGGAAATTACATTTCAGTGTGAAATTTTAACAAGACTACTTTCGGAAAGTTTCTTAATAATTCAGCTATTTTCTTTAGGTTTTGTTTGTTTAATTTTTTTTTTTTTCCTTTTCATAGTACCATAGTAACAAATGGTAATCATAGGAGATCCTATGAAATATAATTGGGCTATTTGGGGGTAAGCTCCTTGATTTGGCATCTAAATTCCAAAAGTCAATTCTCATGGTTATGTGCATTGAAATGACATCCTCAACTGCCTCCTTCACACAGTAGGTGCTCAGTAATAAGGCTTATTAGAAAAAACTTACAGACCAGGAGACTTAGGTTCTGGTCTTAGATATGGAAGTAACTAACAATTTTAGATGAATCATTTAACTTCTATTCTTTGGTTTTCATATTTATAAAACAAAGATAATAATATCCTATTTGCCTGATGAGGATGTTTGAGGTTAGATAATATATTGAAGCACTCTGGAATAATACCAGCCCACCTTTGTTTGGCAATCTCAATTTTTCAAAATCTTAATCCCTGGCATTGAAGTTATTGAAGGCACTCGTGTCTCTGTATGTAAAAGATGTATTCAAGTCTCTTACCATGGTATGCCTCGACTCCTACGGTTTTACTTTCCCTCCCCAGGAAAGGTATTGACAATTTTAGACTGTCAAAATAGTAACTTGGAGCTCATTAGCATTTGTGACAAATCACACCAAAAGTACTTCTATTGGTAATAGCTTGCTAGAAGCTTACTGGGAAAAACGTAAATGGTGTTAGATTTGCATTTGATATCTTATAAGATATATTTATGTGCTGCATAAATATAGGTATAACTTATCAACATCATTTTAAAATTGAGAACATGATTTTAAAGATGGTATTTCTCTTGTGAAAGGAAGTTTTGCTTGTGAAAGGAAGTACAGCTTCTTAAGATTATCAGAGAATGTATCTTGTTTGTGTACCTCTCTAAATGAAAGAATCAAGATAGGGAATGGTTTCATTATTCAGTTTGGCTTGTTGGGCTGGCGAGGCAACAAGAAAAATCATAAGACATCCTTAGAATAATATAACAACACACATGAGACACATACTGTATATGGATCCTGAGATGTTACAAGTTTAAAAACAAATAGATCAACATGATCCAAATAGTTTCCAAGACACCGTTATGGTGGGTAAACAGCCATTTTACAGTGTATGCTGAATGGACGTCCACATCGGGCCACGAAAACCCTACTCTGTTTCCAAATTTGAAAGTTAGTCATCCAGAGCAGGAGGCCAGTCAACATCTACAGACTAGAAGGAAGAAACGGAGTCATTAAAACATATTACTGTTCTAGGATGCATTTGCTGGCAATGCTGTGTAAAGTTAATACTTCTAATATACTACAACAAAAGAAACTGTATTTGAAAAAAGAGCCAATGAATATACTCTAAAACTCATTCTGCGACTTGGGATTCTTGGACCTGTGGTCTGTTGCTGAATTTATTGAGTATTCAGTTACTCAGCTGGTTATTAATTGTGCCTTTTGACTGAAAAGAGACTAGAATACATTTAAAATTGTTTAATGTTAATTACGGGTAAATTCAGGTGGCAACACCAACTTTCCCTCAGAAGTCTCAGCAACTTTTATTCTTCGGATTATTTTCATTTTCCCATATTACGACTTGCTCTGGTCTGGCTCTTCTAAAACAAGACCTTGAGCTTCAAGTCATAATGCAATTACAGTGCCAGACTGTTTTGTGCCACGCTCCAAGCCATGACCTCACCTTAACCACCCTGGAGGGCCTCATTTACAGGAAAGTTGTTTTGGTCTTGTTTTCAATCCACTGTACTCGTGTTGTTTGAGAGTTAAAGTTTAAAACTTGTACTGATTTGCTAAAAATGATTTTTTAATTAATCTATGAGTCACTTCACATACCAGATTCAGAAAAATTTTATTAGAAAAACCCAAATAACTATTGCGTATGTGTGTCTGTATCTTTTATAAATCTCAAGGAAATTTTTTGGTTCTGTTTCAGAACATAGTCATATCCCCAACACCCATATATGAGTTAATGGTTGGTTTCTCAAGCCTGAAAACTAAACATCACTGATCACAATCTTGTATGTGTTGAGGGTAGGCGTGGGTAGGCATGTTGTAATGTTAAAAAGCTCTACAGGTGATTCTAGTGGACAATCAGGGCTGAGAAACACTGGCCTGTGGCTGTTTGACACTCCTAAGCTGTTCTGAGAAGGTAAAGAAGACAATACAACTGGGATTTTATTTAACAGAAGGTTGTCTTCATTAAAATGACAGTGTCTCACTGAGGAGGCTACCTGCAACCTTGAAGATGCTGTCACTGGCTGAGCTGTATAAGATCTGACCTGAACTCACTCAAGAGAACTCTGGTAAGGCAATAATGTCCCAGTGATCGCTTGATTGCCGTAGCTGCTTTTACGCTAGGCAACTATACCCACTTCTTTTTATAACAGGTATAATTCCCAGGTACAAAATGTTAGGCTCTCCTAAAATTTTGTTGTGGGTGTGGGGAGGAACTCTGTTCCTAATGGGATATTTTTCAAGAAGCACAACTTGTGACTCACTACCGACTGATGCTCAAATTAGAAAAATACTAATGGAAAACTTCTTGAAGGCTCTGTTCCATCCATTCTTCTAATTACTTACAATTTCAGATCGTACAAGTGGAGAACTTGGACCACATCATAGGTGCCCCTTATAGAACTGCTTTTATTAATAACCATTGGCTCATCCCATTGTCTACCCCTGTCCTAAATACACATTTCTGAGTAGACTGTCTCAAATTCTTTATAAAGCAAATTGGTATGGGAATGAATTATAGAGTCCAAAGGGCACTTACAACTTTATTTCTTTGTATGGTTTAAGGGTTTACATCTCATGCCATATGTAAAGGACTTATAATAAATAAATTAGCTATATATTTGCAAGGGTCATGAGACTTTGTATTTTTTTTTAAAGATATAAAAATTCCAAGATAGACCCTCTCTACATATAATGCTACTGCGTGATTTTGGCCATTTTCAAACACCTCTTAAGGTATGTAGTACTATTTCCCTTAATGCCAAAAAAACATAACTTTGAATCCAAGGTGCATATGGGCATTTCCACAATAAAATGGTTTACCTCAACGTCCAGCTCAAGGATGTCTGCAGTCACATTCATCAGAGTGCCAATGTTCGGCTTGGTTCTCCCAAAGTCTCCATGTACAAACTCTTTAATGTAGCTGGGGTTTGTTTAAGGAAAAAATTTGGTAGCTATGCAGTACCAATTGTTTGGTGAGATTTGATAGGTGAAAGAGATATAACAAAAGTAGAAATGTTACAAAAGAGAGGTTATTTCTGAGCTGTGATTTGCAATGTTTGTCTTAGAAAAGAAGCTATGCAAATTAATTCCTATCAGCCTGGCGGCCAACATTAGGACCTAGTTCTTGTGTTTACATCAAACTCATCAAGAGTCAATATTTTCTTTTTTCTTTAGCTCATCTCCAAGTGCCAACATTTGGGTATGGGTTTTCAAAATCAGCTGTAGCTAAATGCTATATTTACTTTTAAATCTCGCTTATATTTTCTTTGCCACAACTTCTGTTTTGATATCTCTCTTATTTCACTTTTCAATAATGGCAGTCAGTATCTGCCACATGATAAGTTTCCACAGTCTAAAGAGTGACTTCAGTGAGGGCTCTCCTTGTAACGTGACCCAGTGACATACAGCAGTAGGATGGAGGGACAATAAAACACTCGAGTCTTGATGAAGGCCCTTCAAAAGGATGATCAGAGGACCTACATCCTAGTTGTTTTGCAAACATGGTTAGCAAGATAATTAAGTAAATTCTCTTTTTTTAAAGGGGCAACTTTGTGTTTCACTCATAGGTCTTCAAATTTTGAAGTCAATGACTAATCTAAGAATCCATTATTAATAAGATTATATTAACGTTCCTTACTCAGGACTCTACTACAACCTTGACAATCTTTATCTGAAAGATAGGTTTTTGACAGCATTCAGTGAAAATTCATCTGCCATTATGTTGTGGTCTATAAACCAGCACTTAGTATACGGATTTAATATAATTTGAATAGGGAAAATAAGTTTGTTCTCGGATGATGAACAGAAAAAACCCACCATAATATGCTGATATATCCTCCCAACTTTCTGAAAGTTTATTCATTCAACTTTCACCATATGTTCTAACTCAAGCATAAGACAAGTAACTGTCTTCTTTGCTAAACTCATAATTACTTAACAACTGTCATTCTTTTTCTCTCACTTTCTTTAGAGAATGTCACTTCTGAGTAGCAATGATGAGGGGAGAAATTCCAAAAGCCCCAGAATATTCAATTATACGGTCCAGAATGGTTCTTAATCACACCCAGAGGGACAAGGTTTAAGTCAAATGAACTAGTTCAGTGCACTGAGCAATATAGTTGGCCCTCGTTTATTGCAGTTAATCAGTTTCAGATTCTACCGCGATAAATGAATTTCCGCAAAGAAGGATTCTTTATTTATATGCAGTCGTCCCTCTCCACTTCGCGCTTCGACTTTTCGGGCTTCACTCTGTCGTGGTTATTTGAAAAAACCACGATAGAGTGAAGCCTGAAAAGTCAAAGCGCGAAGTGGAGAGGAATGACTGTATATGTGAAAAATTCACATACTTCTGTGTACAACCACATGGTAACTGAGGCTTTACCAGTCTGTCCTGGCTAATGCCTTAAGTTACATGCACATGGCTGGTTCTAAAAATATTTAATGAGATTGAAAAGATATTAGTTTCCCCAAAATACCATTGCATTTCTTCCTAACACATCAAAACTAAAGCTGGGATTCAGTAAAAATGATTTTTTTAAAAAAAGAATGTGTGATTTCTTTGAAATCCCATCCACATTCCATCTATAATAAGCAGATGTGCTCCAAACAACAAAGACACAAAGATCTGCCCACGAAATAGACCATCCCTTGCTCCAAATGGTAAAAACTTAGATTTTAGAAGTAACCTATACCTGAGTGCAAGGGGGAAATCCTGGTCACTCCTGGAGCAGGAGAGGGGAGACAGAGAAGCAAGGAGGTTGGTGGGGAAGGAGAGGCAGACTAATTATAGCAGTATAGTGGGAATGCTATTTGGTGATTTCCCCCCCTTATATCCATAAGTATATCATTAGTTTTATGCTAGTTAGAAGGCATTTTGTCACTCATGCTATTGGATCACAAAATAATATAAAACCAAGAAACAAACAAAAACTAGGAGCACCTTTGAAAAGTAAACTAAAACTAAGACTTCAGCAGCTCCCTAATAGTTTAACCAGCAACTCAGCTCTGAAACAAAAGCATGCCAGGCAAGGTCAGTTATGAACAAGTGATTCGCCTCGGACTATTCTCTTGTTCTGGGCCAGAGGCCAAATATAGTAAAAGATCATTAAGTAAAGTGGGGCCACTCCCATCTGCTCTCAGTGTTTAATCATCTGGGGCAAATACTCAGAAGTGCTGCAAGAACCCAATGTGGTCTTGAATATGTGACTGGTGAAATGTGTCAAGACAGCAAAGGAATCCATCCAAAGTGTTTCCTGAGTACTTACTATGTGCTCAGCATTGTGTAAGACACTAAATATTTTAACGATCACACTGAACTGGCTGCTGCCTCATGGTTTAAAATGTCATTTTGACAAATACGAATTTAATGGAAAAACAAACAAACATCTTCTCCAACCTACTCCTCTCCCTACCCTACTAGATCAAGTTGAACCTCTTTCCTGGGGCAGCATGACCTCTTCCACTGGGGTTCGGGTCAGGTTACCGCTGTGCAGAGGGTGAAAGGATACGTCCCAGCTTGAGTCCTCAGACAGAGGCGGAAATGATGCTCATCCACGTAGCATGTCTCCATGGAGTGAATGGTCCGAGTTCTTACAGCCAGGGGCCTCCGGTGAAGGACCCGCAGAGGTGTTTTCTGGTCGATTGTCAAGTCCTGAGGAGAACATGATACACAACTCCGGAGTGAGCTTTGCTGCTCACTAACGCTCACCTCAGACCTTCTCTGTCGTCCATGGCTCACCACAGATGTTTTCTTTAGAGGACCCCATCTATCACTGTCGGGGTAGAAACTAATACTGTAATAAATTGTGTAGCCTAAGGTTCACACTCTGTGGGATTCTCATCACCTAGTCCATAATTACTCATTTTCTGGGCCCTTGGGCGCCATTTTAAAAAAAGGCTTTGAAGTAAATGTTCCCCAAAGTCTCTTTTGCTCTAGTATTTAACAAATTGATTAGGACCCTGGAGTTCTGTCCTGCCCTTTACTTTAACAGCTCTTCTAGAAGACATAAACTTACTGTTTTTTGTTTTTTGTTTTTCCTAACCCAATAAAATAACCTTATAGTGGGGATTTCAAACTGAGGTGAGAAATGGCTGTTTTAGAAGGTGGGGCATCAGCATCCCTTGTGTGTACAGACAGTGTGCATGTTTTAGGGAGAACCATATACCTACTCACAGTGTTATTCTTTAGTTGCATGAAGGGATATATCTGGAAAATTAGCAGTTGCATCACTGTTTTTAGGGTGGTGTTTCAGTATGATAATTACATGTAAGTATATGCAATAAACCAGGACCTCTCAGCCCTGGCCAGTTTGGATCAGCAGTTAGAGTGTCGGCCCGCGGACCAGAGAGACCCGGGTTCAGTTCCCGCTAAGGGCATGTACCTCGGTTGCAGTTTGTCCCCGCCCCAGTTGGGGTTGTGCTGGTGGCAACCAGTGGATGTGTGTCTCTCACATCGATCTTTGCTTCTCTCTTCCTCCCTCTCTCCCTCCTGCTCTATCTGAAGATGAATGCAAAAATGTCCTCAGGTGAGGATAAAAAAAAAAAAAAGTTAAAAAAACCAGGACCTCTCAATATGAGTTAGCCCAGTTCAAGTTACGTGAGGATAATACTGCATATCTTTTTTACAATTCAGATTTTTTTTAAGGACACGGGTTTGTTTTTCTCACAATTAAAGATTTTCTTTTGTGTCACAAGATATAAATTAAGAAACACGTTAGTAGGACTTCCGGTCAAGAAGGCGGCATAGGTAAATGCAGAATCACGTCCTCCCACAACCACTTCAAAGTTACACTTAAACTATAGAACAACCATCAAGCAAAATCACCTGAAATCCAGCTGAATGGAAGTCCTACAACTACAGAATTAAAGAAGAAGCCACATGGAGACTGTTAGGAGGGGCGGAGGCGTGACAGGCGGGTCCTACACCCACGTGTGGCGGATAAAAATCAGGAGGACACCTCGGCTAGGAAGGTCCTCCCTGAGGGCTGAGGGGTCCCTGTACCATACCAGGCACCCAGCTCAGGGTTCCAGTGCCAGGAAGAGAAGTCCCCATAACTTCTGGCTGGAAAAACCAGCAGGAACTGAGGCTCAGGGAGGCTGAGGCGGCTGGAGCCCCAGGCAGCTCCTCTTAAAGGGCCCGCACATGGACTTACTCAGACTCACACCCACCAGGCTCCAGCGTGGGGGAAGCAGCTTGAAAGGCACCAGAGTCATTTGGGGAAGAACTGAGTTTGGCACTGGAGCGAGGGCTGGAGAGGCAGCTTTCTCTTGGACAGATGTGCTGTCAGAGGCCTTTGTTCCTTTGGTGAGCCCTTCCCTGGGGCAGCAGACACTGGCCATATCTGGGACTCCAGCAACCTGGCTCACACTGGTAGCCCCGCCCTGGTGATTCCCTGAGGCCCCACCCCACCCAAATTTGAGGCCCACCCAAGTGGTTGCCAGTTGCTTTACCATAGGATTGGCCTGTCTTGGATCCTGCTTCAGGTTTTCCTAAATTCTTTCAAACAAGAATCTGGTCTCAGCGAGCCCCATACCTCTCGTTAAGTTAAACATAGAAACAAACACAGGGAGGCAGCCAAAATGAGGAGACAAAGAAACAGGTCCCAAATGAAAGAACAGAACAAAACCCTATGAAAAGAACTAAGCGAAATGGAGATAAGTAACCTAACAGATACTGAGTTTAAAACACTGCTTATAAGGATGCTCAATGGACTTAGTGAGAACCTCAGTGAACTTAGTGAGGGCCTCAAGAGCATAAAAAAGAAGCAGACAGAAATGATGGATGTACAGTCAGAAATGAAAGAGGCACTAACTGAAATAAAGAATAATTTACACAGATTCAATAGTAGAGTAGGTAAAGCCAAGAAGCAAACCATCAATTTGGAATATAAGGAGGCAAAAAACACCTAATCAGAATAGCAAAAAGAAAAAAGAATCCAAAAAAATGAGGATAGTGTAAGGAGCCTCTGGGACAACTTCAAGCGTGTCAACATTCGCATCTTGGGGATGCCAGAAGGAGAAGAGAGAGAACAAGAAATTGAAAACCTATTTGAAACAATAACGACAGAAAACTTTCCTAACTTGGTAAAGGAAACAGACATACAAGTCCAGGAAGCACAGAGAGTCCCAAACAAGATGAACCCCAAGAGGCCCACACCAAGACACATCATCATCAAAATGCAAAAGTTTCAAGACAAAGAGAGAACTTTAAAAGCAGCAAGAGAAAAGCAGTTAGTTACCTACAAGGGAGTTCCCATAAGACTGTCAGCTGATTTCTTTTTTTTTTTTATCCTCACCTGAGGACATTTTTTTTGTTTTTTGTTCAGATAGAGTGAGAGAGAGACAGAGGAAGAGAGAGAAAGAGAAACATCGATGTGAAAGGGACACATTGAGTGGTTGCCACACGCACAACCCAACCAGGGCTGGGGACAAACCGCAACCGTGGTACATGCCGTTAACGGGAACCAAACCCGGGTCTCTCTGGACTGTGGGCCAACACTCTAACCGCTGAGCCAAACGGGCCAGGGCTCAGCTGATTTCTTAAAAGAAACTTTGCAGGCCAGAAAGGAGTGGCAAGAAATATTCAGAATGATGAAAAGCAAGAACCTACAACCAAGATTACTCTATCCTGCAAAGCTGTCATTTAGAATTGATGGCCATATAAAGAGTTTCCCAGACAAGGAAAAGCTAAAGGAGTTCATCACCACCAAACCATTATTATATGAAATGTTGAAGGGTCTTTTTGAAGACAAAGATAAAAAATATGAACAAACAAAATGGCAATGAATACATATCTATCGACAATTGAATCTACAAACAAAATGAACAAGCAAAACAGAAACATTCTCATAGATATAGAGAAATTTTGTTGGTTGCCAGATGGGAGGGGGATTGGGGGAACGGGTGAAAAATGTGAAGGGATTAAGAAGTACAAATTGGTTGTTAGACTGACAAACCTCAAAGGGAAGGAATTTTGAGGGGTGGGAAGAAATAAACCAAAGAACTTTTATGTATATATGCATAACCAATGGACACAGACAACAGTGTGGGGAAAGGTAGGAGGGGGGTGGAAATGGGGAGGAGGGGGGTCAATGGGGAAAAATAAGGAAAATCAGTAATACATTCAACAATAAAGATAAGTTAAAAAATAAAAATAAAATTATAAGACTAAAAAAAAAAAAGAAACAAGTTAGTACTGTAAAAGGCAAACTAATTCCAAGTTTTAAAAATAGATGTTGAGCATAACCAGAAATGTAGGTTCATAAGAACTTTGAATCCTCTGCCAGTTCTTGTTGAAACAACTCCTTTCTAATTTACATGATTGGTGAGCACCTGAAGCCATACTAAAAAATATTTCTGTCTGGTCTCCCCATATCAAGTCTTCCACCAAGAGAGAAAGAACAAGTTTTGACAACAGCTATACTTGAAATGGGATGACTGCTTTTATCAGATCAGTGAGTCAGCGACCCCTCCTAATTCATAGGGGTTTTTCCATTTTAATTTTTTCAATTACAGTTGACATTCAATCTTATATTAGTGTCAGCTGTACAGCCTAGTGGTTAGACATTTATATAACATATGATGTGATTCTAGTACCCACCTGGCACTACACATAGTTATTACAATATTACTGACTCTATTCCCTATGCTGTACTTGACATCCCCGTGACTAGCTCATGGGCTTTATGATTCTATAATTCTTTGATTTTAATTGCACTTTGTTGTGACAAGATAAGCCATCTTCATGAGACTTGATATTTCTCTGGCCAGTAAGATCAAAAGAAGAACAAGGCTGAACTTCTGAGGAATCTGTAAAGATGTGACCTCTACAGTACAGAAACATTCTGCTGGCCTTTAAATGAGCGACTAACTAAGGAACACTTGTCTCCCTGTTTCCCTTGCCTCTCAGGACTTCCCCTTACTCTCAGTCACTCCCAGGACTTTGACCCATGAGCCAGTCAATGGAAATACTGAGCTAGCAGACCCACCACTGCTTCTATAATAATACTCAGATCAACACACACTCGTGTGTCTTTTTTGGTCTGACTGTTTTTTGCAGCAATCTGGCCACATCAGAGTGCAATGTTAGAGTAGATGATGTGTTTCCTTTGGCCTGCAAAAAACACATAAATAATGCCTCCCCACCCCCCGCTCCTTGGAAGTAGGTTGCCCTTAAAAAAAGAGTAATAAATCTGAAGTGACCTTTTCTCAGAATGGGGCAGTGCCTCAGTTTTTATATCCTTTACACCAATAGGAATATTTGAAAACTATTTTAACACTAACACTTAAAAAATGATCAGAAGTCGCCCTGGCCAGTTTGGCTCAGGGGTTAAAGCGTCGGCCCACGTACCAGAGAGACCCAGGTTTGGTTCCTGCTAAGGGCATGTACCTCGGTTGCAGTTTGTCCCCCACCCTGGTTGGGGTCATGTGGGTGGCAAACAGTCGATGTGTCTCTCTCACATCGATGTTTATCTCTCTCTCCTCCTCCCCCTCTCCCTCCAGCTCTATCTGAAGATAAATGCAAAAATATCCTCAGGTGAGGATAAGAAATATGATCAGAAGTCAAGGAGTCTCTAGTCTCAACAGTCACCTTGGGCTGTGGACCATTCACACAGACCCTTTTACTACTTAGGCTGCACCTATAAAAACCATCTTGCAGCACTATTTCTGAATTAGCTCTATAGCTACCCCTAAACTCTGAATCTATTTTTCAAATGAGCTTATTTTCCCCACTGCATTCTGAATGACTTGTACATGTGATTCAATTAAGGTTTAAAATTTTGTTCTGCGATCTTAAGGATATCAATCAATAGTCTAACTATCATCCTAAAGTCCCTAGATAATAGGGCCCAAAGTCAAAAGGCCTTAGATACAAATCACAGAACCTGAGAACTGCAGGGCCACTGGGGATGATCTAGTCCACCCTCACGGTACAGATGAGCTTCTGTAGGCAGCTGTATGTTTTCACCGAAACACTCTGCACTTCACTATTTTTTTCATGTCCTGGGTATTCCTGCAAGCCATAGATGTAGAACTACCTTCATATTTTTTCTATTTTAGTTTTTTAAAAATAGTTGTATCATATTCCAACTCGTTCTACCTTTCCTTATTAAAGGGAATTCATTTTGTTTCCAGGTTTGTTATTGTTGATTTTGCCACTTTGAACAAAGTCAATAAACATCCTTGTGCACATATCCCTACGCACTGGGTTTATTTCTTCAGGACAGACTTCCAGTAGGAGAAGTGTGGGTAGGAGACTAGTGTATTTTTTAATTTTTATGGTTGTTGCCACATTGTTTTCCCAAAAGGCTGAAATACTTTACATTTCTGCTGAATGTATGCAACTAGCCTTCTCCTCTGCTCCAACCAATAGGTGGTATTAGTCTCAGAGGAATAAAGTGATGGCCTTATTGTTACTTCAGTCTGGAGGTGGAACATCTTTTCGAATGATTCTTAGCCATCTGGAGTTGTTCTTTTTTTAGCTGCTTGTTCAAATCCTTTGTCTATTTTTCTCTATTGGGTGTTTGTATTCTTCATAAGTATAAATCCTATTTATGGTATCTTTTACCAATTTGTTTTCTACATAGTCATACATGTGTGTTTAAATCACAATGTATCATCCTCTATGTACGCTTACAGCTTGCTCTTTTCTGGAACATTTTTCAACTTTGTCAACAAATATGCATATACCACATCATTTCTAACAGCTGGCTAGTAATAGTCTGACATACAAATAAGCCATAAGATTAAACCAATCCCCTCTAGCAGGTCATCTAAATTATTACAAACTATAGCCCATTCAAACAATGTTCTGATAACTGTATATGAACAACTTTGTGTTCATTTATGCTCATTCCTTTCATTTGAAAGTAAAGTATATGGGAAGAGGTGGGAGCAGATGGAAAGAAACATTCAAACGAACAGGCAGACCCTCTATAATGACATGCTCATGTGAAGGAAAACCGAGCATGTGTCAAAACAACTGTGCTCTACACATTACCTTGTTTTATTTATATATAATATGTTTTATGTATAGACTTAATCTTGGCATCAATTCTATTGTGTAGGTCCTATTTTATATTTCTTTTGTACAATAGTAGCATTGCTGAATGTTATCTATGTGTCAGATATGTTCTAGTGATTTCTGTAACTAAACTCATTGAATTCTTCTAATTTTATAGATGGAGAAATTGAAGAGGCAAAGTAACTTGTCCAAGTCACACAATTAAGAAATACAGATACAGGATGTATGCCCAGGCAATCTGTCCTCAGACGCAGGCTCTTCATCACTAGTAAGACTTCCTCTCAGATGGGTTACATGAATGCCCAGTCATTCAACTAGAAAATGGCAGAGCCAGGATTTGACTCCAGGTCTCACAGTCCCCCATACCCCTGCTTGATGATTTGCTGATAATAAACTAGGAGACATGGACTCTTTTACAGATGGTAGAAATACAAAATAAAAATAATTAGGGCACTTAACTACCTTTATGTCATTTAGGAATTCAATGTCTTCCTTCTGTATTGCTTTATTTGTCCATATTAAGGCACTATAGGTCTTGGTCTTTTCTTCTTCACCTTCTTTCATATGTCCTATTGCCTCTCTAAACGAAAACAATAAAGCAAAGTTTGTCTGAATATATACAATACACACAAGCTTTGCCCCAAACTTTCCTTTCTTTAAAATAGCTTTATTGAGATACAGTTCACATACAAGGCCCCTCCCCGTTTTAACTGTACAATTCAGTGACTTTCAGTATATTTACCGAATTGTGCAGCTGTCACCACAATCTAACTGCAGAACTCTTTCATCACCCCCAAAAGAAACTCCATATCTGTGCAGTCATTTCCCACTGCCCATTTCCCCAGGCTTCAGCAACCATTTACTTACTTTCTAGTTCTATAGATTTCCCTACTCTGAGCATTTCCTATAAAATGAATCATACAATATGTGCTGTTTGGTGTATGGCTTCTTTCACTTCATAATGTATTCGAGGTTCACCACCATGAACACTCATGCAGATTACTTTTGTGGCTGTACATTTTCATTTCTCTAGAGTATATATCTACAAGTAGAATTTCTGAGTCTTATATTAACCTTTGGAGAAACTGCCAAACTGTTTTCCCAACTGGCTGCACTTACAATCCCATAGCAATGAATGAGAGCTCCAATTTCTCCACATTCTTGCCAACACTTGTTATCTTCCATCTTTTTTCTTATAGCCATCCTAGTGAGTGTGAAGTTGGATCACGTGGTTTTGATTTGCTTTCCCTAACGATTAATGATATTGAGCATTTAGTGTGTTCATTGGTTTATTCATATATCTTCTTTGGAGAAATGTCCACTTAATCATCTTCCTATCATTAATTGGGTTGTTTTCTTATTATTGAGTTGTAAGAGTTCTTTATATATTCTGGACATAATTCCCTTATCAGATGTATGATCTACCACTGAAACTTCCCTTTTAAAACTATCTCCAGTGAGCCTACCCTTACCTTGTGACAAGCTGCAAGTCACGTACTTGAATTTTGTCAGACGAGCTATTAATTTTCTGTAGTAGCAGAAAAAGAAAAACAATTAGCAACTCTAGGTCAGTTGCAGAGGGGCAGAAACATGGCGATTTCATGTCATGAAGTGGTTTACCTGCTGAAGTTCCTTAATTTCTTGTGAAGTGAAATGTACTCTATGAGGATTCACCAGCTCAATTGCAAAGGGCCTTCCTGGCAGCACACACCCCGCCATGAAACAGAAACGTGTTGATGGAGTTAACATTCAGGCTAATGCAAGAGGGTTAGGAGGTGTGAAACGACGAGCTGAGCTCTAGAGGACTGAAAGTTTAGCTATACCGGGGGGAGGGAAGAATGTGTGAAAAGAAATCAAGGGGCTTTTGGGGGCTGCTAAACCCCAGCACAGGCCATATGTGAGAGTGACTGCTTTCCCGAAGGTCTGCGGACAAGCCTGTGCTCGTTATGAAATGACATCTAAACTGCTAATTGACTCGGTTACACTACTGCCATGTTGTCACATGCAGGGATGTGCAGGTAATCCAAGCTGAAATCCATCCTCCTGGCCTAATCCTGTAGTGAAACAGGAAGGCTGTGATTCTATGAGAAGAAGGGACTATACATCTCAAACAGCGCAGGATTAACTCTCTCATTTACCTTGTAGTAAATGCAACAATATAAAATGAGAAGTGAAGGCTAAGAGAGCAGAAATCACTTTTTCAATGAAGATGTGCATTTTAAAAACTGTACTTGTCCTGCTGAAATGTTATTAAATGGAACAATTAATATTCAAACTTTTGGGGGGGGGGATCCAGCACCTCCTTGTTAATGTACACAAAAGTCCCTTGTAACCTAGAGATATGCAATAGAAACGGCCTCTGAAGAAAGGATTCCTCTTAAAACATAACAGTCATATAACTTAAAAAGGTAGCTAGCTCCATTATCCACAAAGCTTTCTCACTTGGAGAGAAGCTCTGGGCTCTGCCCACTTTGGTTCTGAATAAGTGACTACAGTAAACCTGCTGCTGAAAAGGGTGATAATCTGAAAATTAGTTCTAGTCGACTGATGCTGTTGCAGTCTTACCATTTCCTAATGTTCGCACATCCACATCTTCTCTTCCAGAGGATGAAAAATTAAAACCTGTGGAAAGCAGATAGGAAAACAAATCAGAGAAATAATAGTCCTAAGACTTTTATCCCCACCCTTTAGTAGAAAACCATTTTGTCTTGAACAATTTACAGGAGAATCCCAAAGGATAGTCATCATCCCACCTCTGATTCTAATCTCTCCTAAAAATACCAATAATAATAATAAACACCATTTATTGAGCACTTACTATATGCCAAGCACAGAGCTAAAATTTTTGCTTACATTATTTCATTTAATTCTACCTGGTAAGGTAGGTATTGAAAAAGCAAACAAACAAAAAAAACAACAACAAGCTTCTGAAAGGTTAAATACGTTTCTCAAAGTCACAAGATTAAATGGCAGAGCTACGTGTTTCTAATGTCAAGGCCAGACCTTAACCGTCATCCCACACCACCATCCCACAGGAAGGCCAAAAGCAAAACCATTTGGAGGAAGGCCCTACCACCACCCTGGCTACAAGCTTATGGTGAAAAATCTACCATCTACTTTCTTCTTTTCCTTACATCAAAACAAAAACATTTATTTGGGAATTAAACTTTATGAAATGAAAAGGAGGGGGTAAATGTCTGACTCTAAAAGCAAATTCATTATATAAGCAAACCTAAGCTGGAACCATGACAAAACTAGTGTTCATCCTAAGATAGATGGGTCATCACAGACTAAAAGCTGCAAATATCGGAATAGAAAGTGATTAAAAGGGGGGGGGGTCAGGGGTCACATGACAACTTTTTAGATACAGAACTGACTGGTGATTCCATCATCATGACCACAGCCCACATTAACATGAGAGACATTATTCTCAATGCTTCATATATGTGAACACTATGAGATAGGTACTATCATCATCTCCACTTTACTTATAAGGAAGTGAGACAGAGACAGGCTAAGTAACTTATCTAAGATCACACTGCACTGCCATGAAGACAGCCAAAAACACTCAGACTTGTGCCCACAGGGAAAGCAAGACCAGCTTTCTTGGACAATTGGGAAAGGCTGGGATGCTGTGGAAAGCCTGCTCAGTCATTAGAGTGGTAGAGTTTAAGGTCTCTGAACATAGAGCTTGAGGGCTAGAACTCAGGCTCATACCGATTTTTCATTCAGGAACAGATCTGTCCAGGATGTGTGTGCAAGGCCCTGTGCTAGATGATAGGAGGACACAGGCAAACTAGATGGACATGGTTCATATCCACACAGCACTTACTACTTATGCAGGGATGTGGACCATACATGGTGGGGAGGGCTGGGCAGGAAAAGCACAGGAACACCCTGCTCTTGGAGCACAGCTGCAACATGAGCCAGGGGGTGTGTTTACTCACTAGTCCAGCCACTTTGGAAAGCACGAAAGAAGGACGAACAAGACTGCTGGGAAGATCAGACGGGAAAAGTAGAAGCAGGGTGAATTCCATTTTGACAGCCATTTTTCTCCCAGCAAAGTTCTCGTGGAGATTTTAGAAAAAAGGAAGGCTAAAAAGCTTTCAAATCCTGTGAAAACTACACTCAAGATTAGCCCTCCTTTCAACCTTCCTTCATCTTTAGAAATCACTCTATCGAGCCGGGGCCAACACTGGCTGAGCTGCAGTGTGTCGCACACTGCCATGGCGAAGTGGGCTCCTCTCTGCCCCACGGGGCCCAAAGCTATTGGTCTCACAGAGAGAAGCAATCCAGGACTGGCTAGGTAAGAGCTAGATATCCAAGGCAGGTCTAGAATTCAAGCTGCTAGTTAGGCTCGTGAGTCTGGGTAACCTGTGCTGCTTTATTCTGAAGGACTAGCCAAGTGGGCAGCCATGGGAGGCACAAGGGCAGGTTCTTCTCCAGGTGAAGAACCTAGGCCAGGCAGGGAGTAAGACTCTACAGACCAGTAAGTCCCAAAGAACCCTCCATCCCATGTTTACACTCTACTGTCAAGCTGTTACTAAACCCACAGCAACATTAGTAGCTTTCCGTCAGCAGTCCACACACTCAAGAGTCGCAATAATTAGGGATGGAGAGCTAAATGGAGAGTTCAAAATGGCATCTGGGAAGCGGAAAAATACTGACTCCCTGTCTTATACTGTGAAGGGGGTGATCAGGTCTACCAGAGACTGCTAAATCTGACTAGAAACCTCAAATTCATGCATTAGCACATATATTGTCCCACAAATTCCAACCCATCAACAAGAAAAAGAGGCAGAAAGCTAGGCTCTTGAGAAGTCCAGAAAAACATTATAGTCAATCCAGACAAAGGGAAAGGGGGTATTTACTCTATCTTTGAGGGGAAAAAAATATTTCAGATTTGGACCCTACATTGAGAAACACTTTTGAGGGCAAATTTCAAAACTTGATTCCTATGCAATTATGAATAGCAGCCGACAAAAAGAGGAAAAGGAGCCATTGCCATTTTAGGAAACACATGTTTAAAACTTAGTTGCATTTTCTTAAGTCCTGTGAGTTCTTTGAACCTTCTGCTCAAAGGAACAGATGTTTCAAAAACAAGGATAAGGAGGATCAGGAACTATATGCGTGGTTCAGCTAGTCTCCAGTGGCCCTCACACCCAGGGGCAAACAACGGGGATGAAAGCTAGGCAGAGGCCAGATGATGGCCTCAGGATGTCAAGTTAAATTGTTGGGGCTTTTTTCTGTAGCGAGTCACTGACCAGTTTTCAGCAGGGAACTGACATGACAAATACCTATTTACTTGAGTGATGTAATAAATGTATTAGGGGAAAATTTTCTTAGACACATTGATTCTGAGAGTGTGTCAAGTTAATTACTCATTAACTAGGGAAGTAGCGAGTACATACCATGATGTGCCAGTATGAAGTGACTGAGAAACAAGTCTGTATCTCCCATTTAGGGGAAGGAACCTTTCTGTAAATAGCTAGGCTGCTTTGTGCAATACCAGTTCATTTTCATAGAGCTGTAAAACTTAGAGGTTCACTAGTCAGAACCATCTTCCCTGAGTTGTCAGATGTGAACCACAGAAATAACAAGCAATTTATCTGAGAAGCATGGGTATAGCAAATGTACTACTAATCAGGCATTTCAAACAACAAGGTTTTATCCTTACAAGAAGCCAAGGAGCACAGAGGCCCAAAGGTCTGCTTTCTCTCAAGAGCTCTCAATAAACTTCCTCAGCACACAACTACATATGCTAAACACACCGTTTTATTTATTTTCCGCTTGAGGAAAATAATGTTCCCCCTCACATGGAAGATGACAATGAACATGAAAGACTGAAGTGTGAAACATGCCGCTGTCGCAGAGCCCCCAGCAGCCCTGTTCATAGTGGGGGCTCTGGGACCCAAAAATCAGAACTGAACATTTCTTTAATCTTCTTACAGAAAGGGAGTAAGGTGGCCCCAAATTGAGTCTGAAAGAGATTTTTTGTGTGTGTGCCAAAGCTTTATTTTCACTTCTTCATAACCTGGATAGTCTTATAAGATAACCAGTGTGTAAATATCAGATCAAGTAGATAAAAGCTCCGGGCCATACCCCAGAGGCTTTCCTGCTAAGGTTTTGGAAAATACTAGGTTGCTAGGTTACTTTCTTCTTCATTCAGTCAAGAACACTTAAAGACCCTTAAAAAGAGGGCCGCTCTGCCCTGGCCGGTTTGGCTCAGCGGTTAGAGCTTCGGCCTGCGGTCCGGAGAGACCCGGGTTCGGTTCCGCTAAGGGCAAGTACTTCGGTTGCAGTTTGTCCCCAGCCCTGGTTGGTCGTGCGGGTGGCAGCCACTCGATGTGTCCCTTCAAGTCTATGTTTCTCTCTCTCTCTCCCTTCCTCTCTCTCCCTCCCACTCTATCTGTACAAAAAATGGAAAAAAAAAATCCTCGGGTGAGGATAAAAAAAAAAGAGGGCCGCTCTACCTGATAACAACTTATAAGAGGGATGTGGCTTGAAGCACTTTCCTTTCCCCTTGAGAAGTCAGGGAGCTGGGAGGGACAGCCATGTCTCCGCACGGTCATTTGCTTGCCATTCCTAAAGCAAATGTGTCTTAAGGAGGTTCAAGGAGAAGGATGGATGTCTAACTTACCCCTCAAAAAAGATGTTCTAATTATTTTAGGGAACCCACTTCAAGAGTGCTTTACTTACTGCCTACAGCTTTTCCTGATGTACATGATTTTCTGTGGTTGAAATCTCAGCCTCTTTTCTCTAGACTGCTCCTAGGTGAAATTGAGGCTTTGTGCTGCCTTTGGCCTAACAGGCTATTGAGACAAAGAAAACATAAACCTGATGGGATCTGACTCATCCCACAAACCTGAGCTCATTAATACTTATGAAATTAAAACACAACACAACTCCCATTAAGTCTTTGTAAAATGGTTGTTGGTTCGTTTGCTCTGGGCTTCGGCTTTATCTCAGGACATTCCAGCGGTTAGAATGCAAGTGGTATTGTAACTTCCTCATATTCCCCAAACAAGGTCAAGGCTGAGGCATCCCAAGGTCAGAGCTTAGGTACATTCATTTAAAGTAGTTTCCATTGCTTTGAATTTCCCCAGGAAAGAGCAATCATTTTTAAAAAAGTAAAGAAATCCTTGGGCACTTTGGCTCACATTCAGCCCAAGTCAGAGAAGCTAAGGACATAGCAATCCCTGTTCGCGGGAGGCTGCCAGGCAAGGGGCCCAGACCTGGTGGTAATAGACAAAACACAGAAATCTTCCCTGCCACCTCCAAGGAGTCTGTTCATGAATGACAATGAATTTAAAATAGGAATAATTTAACACTTACTCTCTGCTTTGAACACTGTCAAAAGAGGATCTGAAATCAATTCTTCCACTGAAGATTCCAACTTCCTTTCTCCATCAATTATCCAAGGAGTCTGTGGTAGACTCCTGGAGTATTTATTATATCTCCCTGACAGAGAAATATAAGGTAGGAGAGATGGAATGGTGTGATTAATACAATCAGATAAAAAGAAAAGCAACAACTATATACTGAGTGCCAATCCTAAGATACAAAACAAGGCTTAGCCTTCAATTAATTTACAATATAATTTGGGAAGCCAACACACAGACAGATAAGTAAGTGATAATATTTAAGGTAACAATAGAAGAGATGGCTAAAGGCATAATATGAATCATTAAATGAGTTCTAAAAGGATGCTCAATATATTTATTAATATGACTGTCTGACTGAACAAGTTACATTACAGAACACACCAAGGATCTTTTTTTTTTTTTTAGCAACTACTGCTTTTACAAATGATTAATAATACTTTTGATGTAAGAGTCATTGGTGATGATATATTCCAAAGAGCTCAAATACAGAAAATTTTGAAGTTTTTATAATTTTCTAAAAAACCCTAACAGAATACGACTCATTGCTTTATGAATAAAGCTACCCTAAGGCAAGTAGCTTTCGTTATTACCCTATTTCATTCAATAGTCAAAACTAAAAGTGAATTTCATTTCAGCTATTACTACAAAACAGTTGTAGCTTTGAAAACAAAAACTGTCTGCTAGATTACCCCTTGGGAAAGTCAGTGCAACAAATTTATTTTCAGGCAGAAGCCAAGAGCTTAGTCATTTTGCAGATACTAACATTATTTTTCAAGTTTTTTTTCATAAACAAAAAAATCCTCTCCACAGCTGTATTTCTCCTAACCAGTTTTGGGTCTCGATATCTACCCATATTTCCACTTGGCCTTCTCTGATTTCAAAACCTGGGGAGTGTCATTTCCCTTTGGTATGACATTTTAAATAACAGATGTCTCGAGTGACCTTAAGAATGCTTATACAACCTAAAATGAGGTTGGCTATCAGTTCTAGTTCTCAAAGGGTTAACTAATCAGAACCTAATAACAAAAAGAAGAAGGAAAGAGAAGAGGAATCAGTTGAGTTTTTCAGAAAGGAGAGTAAGTTGATAATGTAAGTATATTCTAGACTAAAAATGTTACCAGCCACAAAGACAGCACCATGAGTACATTCGGTTTCAAGAACAGTGCACAGAGCCTTCGGTGAGTTTGGAGGACAAGGAAACTGCCTGCAAAACAAAACACATTTTACAGCTACTATATCCCAGACATGATATCGAACCACATAGCTACAATGAATCAGCACTGTCCCAGACACACACAGCCTGAGTCTCTCAAGGACTCAGCCTCTCCCTAACTTTAAGTTCAGGAACCGTATGGGTCTGCTAGGCCTCTGGAGTACCACTTTTAATACAGGAGAATGGCACTAAGTAAGTCAGGGCTCTGGTTTACTGCTACGTTCATGCCCAGGAGGCCTCATGTTCCCAGATGATAATGTCCAATGGCCTTGAGGTTTGGGAGAAAAGTCCATATATATGAAGTAGACGCCTTTCCGGTTCTTTAGCCATTTTGCTCTCCATGAATACTTGCTGCTTGCTGCTGGCTTACAAACCCCCGATCCTTTGGGTACAGCTGGTGTGCAGTGAGATCGCCCACATATGTCCCACCTGTGGGGAGAGTCCTCCGCCATTTCTCTCTTTTTTTCCTTCTCATTCTAGCTATGACCTTGGGAATCAGACCAGAGCCAGAAAGGGTGGAATGTGGCAGACTCTGCCCTTTCAGCTGGGAAAACTCCACTGAGGACAGGCAGGGAAGAGCAATGTGCGGCTTTATTCACTGTCCACCTGCTGGGAACTTCCACAGCCACGGACTAATGACCAGATGTGGACTCAACGCAAAAGGCTTGGCTTGAAAATGTCATAGTTTCCCACGATGTCTCAACAAAGAAATCACTTAGGAACTCAAGAACTATTGCTTATAGGACGTAACTGCTTTTACTTTCTAAAATGTAATAACTGGGGAAAGCAGGAGGGGGGTGGGAGCGGGAAGGAGGGGGTCAATGGGGAAAAGAGAGGGACATCTGTAATACTTTCAACAATAAAGAAAAATAAAATAAAATTTAATAAAATATTGCCATTCTGAGACACTTTTAGTCAGTAAAATATACAAAACCTTCCCCATAACTTCACTGTTTGAAATTTATTCAAGAATATTCTAGAAGGATAACTATGATAATCTTGTATTAAATAAAACAAACACTGTGAAAAAAATAGAAGGCTTATTGTATTTCAGCATATTTTAACAAGTGAGGAAACTGCTGAACATTTTCTCCCGCTTCTGGAGATGGCTAATACTACAAAGTTCAGGGTTTGGACTGGAGAGACAGGAAACCTGGCTCTAAATTCACTCCTGCTACCCAGCTGAAATCGTAAGCAAGTCAACTCCCTCTCTGAACCGCAATATCCTCTTCCATAAGATCAAGAAGTTGGTCTTGATTCATAAATTCAAATTTACTTGACAACCATTTATTGAACACCACTGCATGCCAGGTACTGAGCCAGGGAGTGGGGATATAATGAGGATGAAGGCACAGTCCTGGTCCCTGAAATACATCCAATCTTAACTTAGAGAGAGATAATTCAGACTTCTGCTACCATCCCCTTTCTTCTAAAATTCCATGACGCTTCCTCGTTTCTATACTTCTACTTACTTGCGGAAATCCTCTTCTTTTATCTTATTCAAAGCTTTCATAACTGCCATTCTAGTGAATACTGACTATATAGGGTAAAATGAAAAGAAAAGACATTTTAGCGGCTAGACGAGAAAACATCAGAGGTGAAATTATACCATTTTAAACAATACTTAAAAGGGAGAAATACTTAATAGCTTCAAAAAAAACAAGCGAAACAAAAGTGTTCATATTGTCTGTTCTACAATCGGTATACTCCTCCAACCCTTCCCTTCAATCTAGTCTATGTCTCTAATACCCGGCAGGCCCAGCAGAGCACGTCCTCCTCACTGCACTGTGCATCCCCTCGAAATGTGGCATCCTTCAAATAAAAAAATGGTGACATTGCAGGAAGTGTGCTTTGAATATCTTTTCCCAGACCTCAAGAGGAATTTAAATCAATTCATCTACCTTTTCTTCCCTACATCCGCTCCGGGGCCACAGTATATAATTTAAGAGTTAGCTGCCCGGGTAAGGGGCAAAACAGAGCCTACCAGCCTGCCCTGATAGCTAGCAACTCAACCTCTCTCACCAGCCACAAAGTAAAGAAATCCACTATACCAAATAGAAGGGCATCTACAACAAATGTCCCACTTAGGGGTTTTCAAAATAAGAAAAGCCAACTCACATGGTAGACATACTAGAACTAATTACTTCATTTATGATTTACTATGATAAATCACAATTCTGTTTTTTGTTATGAGAAATTACACTTGACTGAAAAGGGGCACAGCGTAGACATCTCAACAATTTATCATCAAGGCAATGATTTTCTAAAACACATCCTGGGGAATCTCAAGGTATTGTAGGGTTAGAACTGAAAATTAAGTGCCTATTTGTTCAGATAGGAAATTTAGGCCTGAAAGAATCTCAGAAGGTCATTCAATTTACTCCCAGCCAAAAGGAAGGAAAACTACAATTAAGACGATCCAATAGTCACTGGGCAAATGGTGTGGTGTCTATGATGCTTTGACAAAAATTTCCTGATCCTATTATCTGATACTGGTACTTGTATATTTCCTCAAAGATAAAAAAAATAAACCTAGATCTTCAATATAAATATGGCTTAAAGGTCTTTAGGACAGTTTCCCAATTGGTATAGCAAAGCAGTGAGCTACAATTATGCCAAGATATCAATCCCTGTAGTTCATAGGAGCTGAGGAACAGGGCCTGGAACAGTGGGAACCCCCAGGCCTATTGCTTCCAACTTAAAGTAACTTTACCTATTAACTTCAGGGTGCTGCACACACATGGTAATGTTCTAGGTGGACCATGAGGTGAGAAAAGCAGGAAGGCACTGCTTCAGGCTTGGTCTGCGTTTTCAATTACTTCTGCACAGGGCGTTCAGCAAATGTTACTACCCTTCCCCCACAACCTGTTCTAAAAGGCCCAGCAATTAGTCAAAGCAAGAGGAAGACCAAATTAAGTATCTTTGACAATAAACTCACATTCTTTTTAACAACCAGATCAGCAAAGTGGATGTCTGTAATTTAGGAATGCCTGGGTCTGCACAAAACCAGCTAAGTAACTGGGATGTGAAAGCTTGCCAATATCATGCCATGCCATTCTATCCTGGCATAATAGAAACGAAAAGTAAATGCCAACTAAGTTGCTCATTAACATGAACACCAGCTCACATCAGACAGTAAAGGGGAGTTTGAATAATATGCCCTTTTTGCAAGTGTAGCTTGAAATAGGCTTTATTAATTCAGGACAAAAAAATAATTTACTTTGAATTACATTTTTAAAACGCCAGTTGCTTGAAAATGGATCTTAGGCAAAAGTTTGGAATGCTGTTGAATTCACCACAGATTTTCCCAGACAATGTAATTCTGGGAATTAATATCTGTAAGTCAAATTTTCCCAAATGGGTAACAGAAATATCATTGAAACTCCGGTTCTAGATTCAACATCAGGGAACAGCCCAGACAGTGACACAAGCACATGAGAATGATTGCGTTAAGACTTTCTAGCCAGAGGCAAAGGTGTTGAGAGTTGGAAAAAAATAAAAATAAGCATAGCAAGTGAAAAGATTTAAAGACTGATTCTTAGGAAACTAGATTGCCACATTACTAATGCATACCTTTTCTGTTGTTAATTTGAATATTCAGCTCAGACAAAACTCACTAAAGAATAAGAACCAGGAATCCTTACCTGTTTGTTTTTGGCTGGCTTGAAACAATCTGGACATGTTGCACGTCTAAGTAAAATTCAAGTTAATATAAAAGGTTAATGAGTTTATTTTGGGGTGGATATAATGCAAACAGATTTTATACAACATGGTTGCTAAACTCAGGGTATCAGGAGCAGACAAAATAAATCCCTATATGAGCTGCATTGGTTTGCCTAAACCCTTATGTTAGAGAGCACATTTTAAACCTACTAAGACAGGACAAGTTCTGATATACTCATTAGAAAGAGGAGCAATACTATTTTCATGAAAACCAAAAAGCATTAACAATGTTACACCACTGACGTTGTTTATGTAGCAACTTACAGGAAGTGACAATCCTCAACTGTTTCTGGGTGAGCAAAGACCACACTCACTTCAAACAAGCTCTAAAAATTATAAAAGACAGTTTTAAAATGAGCAAAAGGAAACCAACATCTAACAACTTATGAATGAAAATAGAAATTAACTCTCAAAGATTGGCTCAGAAAAAGAATGACAAGGAAAATGGGAACTACTACTATTTTCAAAGTGGCTTGTTCACAGAGCAGCTGAACTTTCTTTAACTTCTAAAGTTCAATTACTGGTGATCCTACCAAAAAACAAGTTTGAAACAAATTTTTTAATAAATTTGTATCATTTTGTACATGTTTATAAATTAGGTGTGAAGATGAATGAGAATTCAGGGAGTTGGAAAGAGATTAAGTGAAAGAAATGAAGAATTGTTCCAGTCAATACTATGATTAGAATTATCAGCAACAGCCCAGCTGGTATCGCTCAGTGGTTGAGCATTAACCCATGTACCAAGAGGTTGCTGGTTTGATTCCCAGTCAGGGCATGTGCCCAGGTTGTGGGCCAAATCCCCAGTGTGGGGCATGCAGTAGGTGGCCAACTGATGTTCGCTCTCATGGATGTTTCTCTCTCTCTCTCTCTCTCCCTAAAAACCAATAAAGAAAAAAAAATTTTTTAATTATTTTTATTTACATGCTTAACTCTGTATGAGGCTTTTAAAGTGCTCAACTTTCTTAATAAATTTGAATTTTAAAAGAGATCTTAATTTTTTGTCTTATAAAAGTGATACATATAATTTGTAAAATAATCAAATTGTGTTTCCTTCAAGCCATGTTTATGAATAGAAACATAAATGTACAGTATATACTTCTTGGGATAGTAAACATACTTTTGGATAATTGCTTTATTCAATGAATATTAGATCATGGACATCTTTTGAATTCTAGGGACTATTGAACATTTTAGTTGTAGTTTTTTTATTGTTAAAAAATGCTCAAATAAACATCCTACTACACAAACAAGCATAATCTCATACTCTGTGTACATTGACCTCCATGAAGAAGATATAAAGTTCCACATTCTGAAAAAGACACGAATGGTATGCAATGTAAGAATCTTACCTTTTTTATTGAGCACTAACACTTAAGATTGCATTGGGTTGTCAGCAGGTCTATTAGCTACTCTAGAATCACAGTAAAGAAAAGTGGGTTTTTTGTTCTCTAGTCTAATCTACAAAATAAAGATTGCAACACATTCTTTTTACTCAAGAAGACTTCAGTCCTTCTGAATCTGTTAGAACACCACTACATCTTTTGTTTTCTAGTTTCTGTTCTGGTTCAACGGGCAAGAAATCGTCTGTGTTTCAAAAGTAAAACTTGAGGTAAAAACATTTTGCGTCAATGACTTCTCTAATTTCCAAAGTACTTTCATTACCTCATTTCCTCTTCCTACTATCTGTGGTGGTTTTATTTTCTGTTCTCTCAGTATTCAGTGTAAAGGACAGTCACAGTTTATTTGAACAGAGAGAAACTGAGCTACAGTTGTCCCCCGCCACTTCGCGCTTCGACTTTCGCGGCTTCACTCTATTGCGTTTTTTTCAAATACGTTCATTAAAAAGTTGATCGAGACACTGAAAATGATACAGAGCACGCTCGGTTGTCTGAGTCAATTATACACCCCTGTATTACAATTAAAATTAAAATTACTGTACGTATAGACTGTAGGCCTATGTATTCGAGCACCCCAGGACTCCTTCAACGCCAGGTGCAACCGCTAGCATCTGGAACTGATTAACCACGATAAACGAGGGACGACTGTATGTAATTCAGAAGAGTGAAAATATTTTGAACTATTTAGCTTTGAAAAATGGTTTTATGATTTTACTTGCATAGGGGTGTGTCTGATATTCAGAGAATTTCCTTCAAGCAAAATGACAAAACAATGAGGCCATACTATTAAAATCTAACTTGAGCTGGAAATATGTCCTGTTTCCACATCTGGAAACTTGTTCGGCTCTTTCCTAAAATTCAACCCAGTCCAGATTTGCTCTGGAATAGAGGGGGTGGCTCAAAGACAGTCTGGCTTCAAAGACAGTCTCTGCATAAAATCAGAGAGGCTTGAAATACCAACAAGGTGAGATAGACTGAGCCCCTGATCAGTATAGTTGAGTAGATTCTGTCTGCATATTTGAAAACAAGATTAGCCACAGATAACAAAATTTAAATAGTTTAGAGTTGACTCTACACTTGCTCAGTTATTTATGTATTGCTTTGTGTATCAGTAAATCAGGCTCTACAATTAAAATGTAAATATATTACATTTCTAACCTCTGAAGGTCAATTAGGGTACACTGCACCTGTTACACTCATAAGTGTCTTGGATCCCAAAGAAGTCTTTAAAAATAAAAAAAAGAAAGAAAAACTTTAACCTCAATTTAAGAGTGTTAGAAATTGACATTTTAAAAGCTTAACAATCTTTCATTGGATTATTTAAAGAGAAGATTTTTTTGGGTAACCAAAACTGTACCATATAATGAATTAAAACTGGTAAAACTAGAGAACAAAATTAACAATGCTGATGACCCAATACCTTTCCATCAATGGGAACACCCAGTTCCTCTGAAAACAGGGGGTGAGTTATCCATTTGTAGGCTTCTTTTAGCTGAACTATGTCATTTCTTCCCAGTGACAGACTCTGTTTTCTGAATAACATAAAAATTAATTCACTGACATAAAAAATTTCACTTTTTCTACTAAAGGCAAGAGTTTATGCAATTATTTTAAAAATACGTATTAAGTGCCTATGTCCTAGGCACTATTGTACACATTAGATAAAAAGTAGAGAACAAAGCAGACAAAAATTCATAAGCTCATGGACCTTATATTCCAGTAAAATCAAGAAACTGCTTTTTTTAATGGCATACAGTTTATAAAGTTTCAAAGACAAAGGAGTACTAATGCATTTTTCTGAGCTAGAATTGCCAGATTCCAGAATGTATATATCAGAAGACAGAACAGTGGAACAGAGAGGATTGTTTATTGCTCAGAAACTACAAAACTGCACATTACAATCATTTTATCCAGACTCAAAATGTTTGCAACTCCTCTCCTCCTAATAATGGGGTTTACTTTTGGAACACTGATGTAAAAGCTATATTTTACTGCTGAAGAAGAAATATTAAATCCTAAAGTATCAATGTCTGAAATGCTCATCAACTTAATATCAGATAAATGTCTGAATAAAATAAATATCTGACATTCCCCCAAAATCTACTCATGAGCCAACAAATAGGTTTGGGGAAGTCCCTATTATGATTTCTAGCTTTTAGTTTGTAACCTAAAATTGTGATAGAAAGGAACCTAGGTAAGAGGAAAGGAAAAACATGGTATGATATTATTAAAACTGCTCTACTCTGCTGAGAACACTGCGGTATCACTAATAAACTAACAAGTCCACACCATTCATATAATTAAAACTTCAAATCAGACTGATGGCTATTCACAGGGCAACTTTTAACCAAAGAGATATTAAGGGCCAATTTGTGACTTATTTATTTAAATGTCTAATTTTTACTGATATAACCTGCCTCAGTAGCTCAGTTGGGTAGAGTGTCGTCCCGATACACCAAGGTTGTGGGTTCAATCCCCAGTCAGTACACATATAAGAATCAACCAATAAATGCATAAGTGGAAAAACAAATCAAATCAATGTTTCCCTCTCTCTCTCTCTCTCGAAAAATCAATTAAAAATTTTTTTATATCCTCACCCGAGGACATTTTTCTATTTTTTGTTCAGATAGAGGGGTAGAGAGAGAGAGGGAGGAAGAGAGAGAGAGAGACAGACAGACAGACAGAGAGACAGACAGAGAGAGAGAGAAACATCAATGTGAAAGGGACACATCAAGTGGTTGCCACCCACACGACCCAAGCAGGGCAGAAACAAACTGCAACCGAGGTACGTGCCCTGAGCAGGAATTGACCCTGGATCTCTCCGGACTGCAGGCCGATGCTCTAACCACTGAGCAAAACCGGCCAGGGCCAATTTAAAATATTTTTAATTAAAAAAATTAATTTTCACTAATAGAAATGACTACTTATAGTCAATATTTATTATAATTTAATTTTTCAAGACCAAAAGACACTACTAACCGAACGAAGGTAGAAAACAAGAAAGTAATTTAGCTAATGGCTAAATTTAATTGATTGTTAAAAAACAAATATACATTCAAGAACTTATTAAAATACTAAGTGTTTGAGCTTCATAAACTGTTTCTAATTTTCAGAAACATTTTTGGTATTTTAAAAGACTATCTTGATATTGTATCAATAGTTTAATGATATTTGCATTAAAAAGCATTACAGTTCAAAGGTAAATAATAAATGAGAATATATTTTAAAGGATAAAAAGTTGAAACAGAGAACACAAGAATGAAAAATTACTTAAAAATTGTACAAAGGGGGGCAGCAAAAGTCAATATTAAAAATGGGTTAAAACATTACTTAATATGTAGTTTAAAAAACTGGTATTTAATTTTTTTTATTAGAAAACTGGTATTTTAAATCCTTCATAGTCTTTAGAGCTTCTCAGTCCAGTTAGAAAATTTCAACTACATGCATTTTTTTCCCTTCAAGATTAAAGAGCTAGGGGAAAGGGTTAACAGATATCTTGGAAATCTTAAACTTATATATAAGGCAAAAATACAATACTTAAAATGCCAGGTTTTCAATCCTGTAACTTGAATGTGGCTAATAACTTTTCTAATATAATTTAGGGCAAATGTTTTCACAGAGGTCCCTAGCATATCCCTGATGGTTCTTCAGAGGAATTGGTATAAATACTAAATTCAGTCCCAATTTAGTACTTAGTAACTGCATTTCCCTCCTGTCATTTAACTACTGATGAGGAGGTCAATTTCAATCACTTTTGCTATAGATATAACATGACAACCAACTAGATCAAAGAGTCCAACACAATTAATTTTTTTCTAAATTCCCTGAATCAATTCTTTAATAGCAATTCTTCTATAATCTTTTGAACATAAAATGACCTAGGAACACTGAGGATAAAGATTAGGAATATTTCGCCCTGGCCGGTTTGGCTCAGCGGTTAGAGCGTGGGCCTGCGGTCCCGAGAGACCCGGGTTTGGTTCCCTCTAAGGGCATGTACCTCGGTTGCAGTTTGTCCCCGGCCCTGGTCGGTTGTGCGGGCGGCAGCCACTCGATGTGTCCCTTTCACATGGATGTTTCTCTCTCTCTCTCTCTGTTCCTCTCTCTCCCTCCCACTCTACCTGAACAGAAAGTGGAAAATGTCCTTGGGTGAGGATAGAAAAAAAAAAAAAAAAAAGATTAGGAATATTTCTATATTTTTTCTGTTCCAGTATCCCTACACTGAACGAGATCTTTTGGAAGAACTAATAAACTTAGTTTAAAATCCTTCAATAAGGAGTAACAACAGCAACTAATAAGCAATATGGATGGAAATTGAAAAATTTAGAAAATAGCATGCTCTGACTACATTAAAAACTTTCTCGCCTTGGCCAGTTTGGCTCAGCAGTTAGAGCTTTGGCCTACAGTCTGGAGAGGCCCCGGTTCGGTTCCCGCTAAGGGCATGTACTTCAGTTGCAGTTTGTCCCCGGCCCTGGTTGGTCATGTGGGTGGCAACCACTTGATGTGTCCCTTTCATGTCGATGTCTCTCTCTCTCTCTCCCTCCCACTCTATCTGAACAAAATATCAAAAAATGTCCTTGGCCCTGGCCAGTTTTGCTCAGTGGTTATAACGTCGGCCTGCAGTCCAGAGAGACCCAGGTTCGGCTCCCGCTGGGGGCATGTACCTCGGCTGCAGTTTGTCCCCGGCCCTGGTTGGGTCCTGTGGGTGGCAGCCATTCGATGTGTCCCTTTAGTGTCGATATTTCTCTCTCTCTCTCCCCCGCTCTATCTGAATTTAAAAAAAAAAAAAAAAAGTCCTTGGGTGAGGATAAAAAAAAAAGAAAAAACTTTCTCAAATATAGTATCAAATTTTATTATGCCAGAATCACAAGCATTTGAGACTAATCTAACATAACCTAGCTAAACTCCAAAACCTTTGATAAATATTTGTTTATTGCCCACTGAAAAGTGTAGATGTGAAATATAAAACAAACAAAGACAAATCAATTACTTCTTAAATAAATCACTTAATCAAATATAAGATTTTAACACAGAAATCTATACTTCTGTCTGAACTTTTCTCTCCGGAGTACACAGGAACCTCCAGCAGTTACATGGCCCTTTTTATTAAAAATTTTAGTTTTAAAATCCAAAAAGCTCCAAAAAATTTAAAAAATTTTTTTCTTAGCTCAGTTGGCAATCAAACCCTGACTTGAACATGTGAGAATGTTTAGAGATTTTGTTCATCAAACTTAGTATGAATATTCACACATTTCACTGTAGAAATATTAATGTGTTTAATTATATAGTAGCACCCCAGACCCTGGAGGGGAAGGGTATGCTATATATGGTATTTAACACCATATTACATTTCCAAAATCTAAAAATTTCTCAATTCCACAACACATTGGCCTTGAAGAGTTTCAGATAGAGGGCTGTGGACTTCTGTTTTCTGTCTTATCTATATATAAACTCATTACTGTTCTGCCTTAACTAAAATTTTACTTTGTATCTTTTGTAGCATAATTTGTTTCATAAATTAGTTTATAAAATTTATTATTTTAAAATAACTTGCCAAACTACATTATATAAGTGACCAATGAATATAAAGTATGTATTTACATTCATGTTAAATCTACAAAAAAGGCGAATCTGCTTTCATAGACTACTAATACGCTATGCAAATAAACCAATTAAATAAGGTTGACACCTAAATTTATAAAATAAAAATTTTCTTTGTGCCAATTTCCCTAGCAGCTAGTGAACTTGCTCTAAAAAAAGAGATAGTTGTAGTAAAAGTACTTTAAGAATCAGGTAGCTTATGTTTAAATAGCGGTGAAAATTCCCTACCTAAATTACTTACCCCATTTCCTGTTTTACCAGCAACCATGCAGCATGCTGTAGGCAATTTAGTCACACCCAGAAAGAAAAGGGAAAAAATGTTTATTGAAATTAAGTTCCAATATCATTACTAAAGGCTTAACTAATTTGCTAATCAAACTCCCCTTTTTGGGAGAGAAGCTGATGTTCAGAAATGTGACAATGACCTCAATCTCATTTAAAATCACAAATGAGGTTAAGATGCCACTTTGTAACACTGGCTTGCTGTGGCCTAGGAATTCAACAGGGGTATCCCCCACCCCCTACAGATTTCTATTTCTCATTAATGAGGTACAAGTGTTTTTTGTTTTTTTTAACATGGCTTAAAATATCTTACTATTGCAAAGGGAAAGGCCCAAAGTGACTGAGTACATACTATGTCCCTAAAACATAGAATTGAAAGCTCAGTTTTGTTTTTGTTTTTTAATAGGGCTAACACAGTTTTAATTCTATCTGATTAATGATATAAGTGTTTAGGAGTAAAAGGAACTAATGTCTGTAACTCACTCCAGAATACAACAAAACTAGGTGGTAGATAAATTGATGGCTAGATATATAATAAAGTAAATATAGAAAAATAGTACAATTGTAGGATCTAGGTGGGTATATATGGGTGTTCATTCTTTCAACTTTACTACATGTTTGAACATTCTCATAATAAAATGTTTGAGAGAATGTTCTGAGAAGGATTAATAGAAAACTGAAAAAATTGCTAAAATGAGGAAATAACATTCACAATCATGGTCATTATAAAGATTAAATGAAATTTATGTAAAATGCTTTGCACAGTAAGTGTGTGACACTAAGATTTCACAGTTTGTCATTCGACTACCATAGCTCTCACCTTAAAGAAAAGTAATTACATGTGCTGCCTCAGTGTACAGCATTTTGTGAAGATGACAGAAGCATGTAAGTCGATAAAATACAATACATAGTCTCTATCACTGGCCAGTGATTCACTCACATCACTTCAAGACCTAGTCATATCTATAGATCTATCTATCTATCTATCCACATACACCACTCACACACATACACACACTGTGGTTCATATGTAGAACCCCATTCTTTTAAACTTCAAATGGCCAGTGCCCTAGCCAGTTTAGCTCAGCAGTTAGAGCATCAGCCCGTGGACTAAAGAGTCAGGGGTTCGATTTGGTCAAGGGCACATACCTCGCTTATGGTTCAGTTCTTGGCCCTGGTCGGGGTTGTGTGGGAGGCAACCAATTGATGTGTCTCTTTCACATCGATGTTTCTCTCTCGTCCTCTCCCCCTCCCACTCTATCTGAAAATCAATAGAAAAATACCCTCAGGTGAAGATTAAAAAATAAACAAACAAACTTCAAATAGCCAGCAGGGCACCAGATACTTCTAAATACTTATGATCATTTGGAAACATCAGGTGCATTGCATTACTGCCTTTCAGACATAAATCAGAGTAAAATAATCACTGTCAAGGTAAGAACTAGAACAGTTTCCAATGCCTAACTCTCTCATCAGCACCTTCTGATTTATTTGTTTACTTTGTTAGCTCAACCTTTGAGAGTACTACAGAACCCTTCCATCTCTCTGTCCACTTACTCAAGCCCTCTTTGAAAGCATATGAGCATGGTATAATATACAAATTATTAGCAGTCAGAAGACTCTCAGATCCCAAACTGCTCTACTATAGGTAGTTCTGGAATCTCCCTCATCAGTGGAATCCTCTTGGGTTTCTGAACTATAGAAAACTATTTTATCTGTCCCCTCTTTAAGGGGGCTCAGACTCATCTGTTCTTTTTCAATAACGTTTTTCTCTCCTCTTTTGAGGCAAACTCTGTTCCCAACAGTCACTTCCAGGTGATGCCATCAAGTCTGCAATGTTTCCTGTTATCCATCCTCTGATTATAAAGTAGGTTGCCAAGGGAAACCAGATGACCAGGTTTTGAGTAGCATGTAAAATTAAATCAAATCTCTTCAGTACGTGAGATCTGCTAAAAAGATTTTCCCTTCCTAATCATCTGTGGGCTCCCTGCTCAAGCACGCTAGCAGGTTGTGCAAAACTAATCGCACAGCAGGGGCTAGAAAGCTGAATCTCAAAGTCCATGGTGCTCAATTCTACAATTCTTACCAAGGGCTAATCATGCCCTGAACCTGCTTCTGCTGAGGAAAAAGAAGTACATTTCCCCCTTTTAGGTCACCGAGATCACTTTACATTTCCGTAGTCAATGGGAAAAATTCATTCGCTAGAGCAAGCAATTTAGTTCTTCTTTCCCAAAAGAATCGAAAGGCATTCGAGTTTAATCAGATTTGATGCCAAAGACAGTATATTGTCTCCTGAAAATTCGGGAACCATACAATTTAATCCTGGACTCTACTTTAACTTTATTAGAGAATTCTACGCAAGTTCTAAATGAGGCAGTGGAATAACATGCTTGCTGAAGTGCTATGTACTCTGGACATATATACACACACACCATGGGAAGTCTGTGCCTTTTGAACTTAGAGTTCTGAGGTGGGGTTTATCTAGCACCTAACAATGAGAGTGGGTGATGTAGGGCCAGGGACTGAGGCTGAGTCAAGCAGAGGTGGCAGGAAGGAAAGACAGAGAGTAAGAGGAACATTATAAAAGTGGCACGTTGAAAAATTACAATGTAGTAAAGTAGTAGCTTAGGGTATGTATATATGTACATAAATGTGAGTAGGGAGGTCAACAACTAGAAATGAAACTGGAAAGGTCAGCAGGTTTTTAGTGCAAAGCTAGGGCATGAATCCAAAGTCTGAAACTACAACATGAGAAATGCCACATTTATGTATCTACAAAGACCCATAGCAGCACAAAGAAGAAACAACATTGATCTGTAATTCATCAAGTCACAATGTAACCTCACAATCATCTTCACACTATTGCTTTTCTTATGAGGTAGCTTAAGAGGAAAATAAAATATTTCTTGTACCAAAATATTTCTTTGTCATGAAAATGTAGTGTAAAAAACAGGCATATGTTCCAGAAAAATGACAGAATGATTATTGAAAAAGACAGGCCACTTTTCTCAGATATGTTGCCTATCTGGCCCTTACAGAACCTGAGTCTGTAATTCCTGAGAGAGGAAAACAAACACTAGACTAAAAGGCAGGCTCTGCCTCTAAATATTGTGTGATCACTGTCAAGGTGGCTGGCTTATCCTCTGCATGTTGGTTTCTCAACAATAACATGAAAGGGCTCTACACTGCATTATTTTGGGGGTACCACCTATGTGGTGAGATCTTTACTAAGAATACAGAGATGAAAGACCAGTCTCTGCCCATATGGAACCCATGATCTAGAAGAGAATAAAGGGAGTAAAATGATAATAAAATGTAATAATAATAATAATAAATAATATTGATAAAAATACAGAATGGTGGTGGCTATGACAGGGACATATTTAGGGGGAACATGTGAGGCATTCTCAGCTCAGTCTTGTAGGAGAAGTGACACCTAATCTGAACTGTGAAGGATCAATTACTTAGAATTAACTGGGCAAAGAATGGGGAAAGTATGTTCCAAACATAGAAACTCTATGGTGCAAAAACCAGACAGCATCAGGAAAGTTCTGGGAACTGTAAGTCAGTGGTCCCTGGAGAGCTGAGGACATGTGGCTGGAGAGTGCAAAGGAGGAAGCATGCCTTAGATCACAGAACTATTGTACTTATGCTAAGGGGTTTAGGTTTTACTCTTAAAGCAACATGGTACCACAGCAGGATTTTAAGCAATGGAATGGCATGACCATATCTGTCTTCAGGAACGCTCACTCTGGTTGCACTGTGAATTAGCAGAGGAAGATGGGAACTAAGGGAAATGAAGACATGTAGTAAACTAAAGCAGTGATTCAAGCAAGAAAGAGTATATTATGGCAGTGCTGGTGCAGATGGAGAAGAGTAGGCAGCTGTAAGAGGTAGAAAGACACAAATCAAGAAAACTTGATTAGCAGGGATGTTGGGGTTTCAAATGACCACGAATGCCCTTAAACTCTTTGAATCCTATACATCTGTTGGACTCATTTAAAATAACAAAGATGTGCCCTGGCCGGTTTGGCTCAGCGGTTAGAGCATCGGCCTGCGGTCCGGAGAGACCTGGGTTCGGTTCCTGCTAAGGGCATGTACCTCGGTTGCAGTTTGTCCCCGGCCCTGGTTGGTCGTGCGGGTGGCAGCCACTCGATGTGTCCCTTTCACATCGATGTTTCCCTCTCTCTCTCCCTCCCACTCTATCTGTGCAAAAAATGGAAAAATGTCCTCGGGTGAGGATAAAAAAAATAAATAAATAAAATAAAATAAAATAACAAAGATGCCCCGCCCGGTTTGGCTCAGCAGTTGGAGCGACAACGGCCTGAGGTCCAGAGAGACCCGGGTTCGGTTCCCGCTAAGGGCACATACCCCGGTTGCAGTTTGTCCCCAGCCCTGGTTGGTCGTGCAGTTGGCAGCCACTCGATGTGTCCCTTCACGTCGATGTTTCTCTCTCTCTCTCTCTTCCTCTCTCTCCCTCCCACTCTATCGGAACAAAAAAAAAGATAATACAAATATAGACTTGTACCAACAGGGAAATGACAATAGTTGTTTGGGCAGCTAGCGGTATTACCCTCTGCTCCCACTTCTTCTTCCAATACATACACATGCATATGTATACACATTTATGTATTTTTATTGCACACAAATAGCCAGTGGGAACTAGGCTCAATGATGAGTTTAGTAACAATAGAAACCCTTCTTCCCTCTTCTCACCCAGCACAACTGCCTAAAATTTCCTCCTCCTTTTCTTCTTTCCCCTCCTCCCCCTTCCTCTCCCCCACCCCCCACCTTCCTCTCCCCATCCTCCTCCTCCCTACTCTCCAGTCTGCTACAACCCAAACCTCACAAAGGCCCCACTCCTGACCTTGTGGCAGGTGTGGTGTCAAGTGTGGGGGCAGAAAGAGGAAGGTAAGGAAGAAGGGAGAACATGCTTCTATGACCCTGCTGGACTACCACACAGCTGAGGTAAAGGCCCCTCCCCCACGTCTCCT